GGAAGTTTCTGGCCCTGGGTCACGTGTGTGTGTGTATACAATTATTCCCCCATTGTTTTGGCAGGGTTCAGTAGTCTCTCCATACAAATCCACATTTAACTAATTAATATATGGCAAATGGAAGCGGTCCCAGTATACCTGCCTGCTTTAACACGCTCAGACATTTTCTATTTCCCACCTCTTTCTCTTGTGATCCAGGTACTGGCCGGTCATTGACAGTCACCTGAGGGAAGTTGTGTATGAGAGACGGGTATCCGTGCGCCTGCTGATCAGCTGCTGGAAAAACTCCAAGCCGTACATGTTCCCATTCCTCACCTCACTGGCTGCACTGCACAGCAACAAATCGCACTTCGACATTCAGGTGGTAAGCTGTCTGACACGAGCCGTACAAATCCTCCGGGTCTACTGCACCATTTACCTACAGAATGTCCCTACACCTAATCCAACCGCTGAGCATGCCTTGTATTTCAGATTTCACCAGAGCGCTCTCAGTCTCTTACCCAGCCCCTCCACCACCACCGTTCTGGATAAGATACACAGAAACACCGATGTCTGTGAATTCCAATCCTGCAGTTACTTCTCAGCAGTTTGGAATTTCTGCTCCTTTAATAAATTGTAGTGCGGACATTCTGTTTATTCAATAAACCTCTCTGAAGTGGTATATTGTGAAGCAGACTGTACAGCCTCAGCAAATTGCACTAAATTAATGTTAAGATTATACAAAGAATTAAAAAAAGAAATCCTGCTGAAATGCCAGTTGACTCCACTAGAGGTCAGGGTTTACCAAGTGTGATTCTAGAACGCAGACAATGCATAAAATATTGAATTCTGAGAGAGATTTGCAATGTATGTGTGAATTCAGTAGAGACTGCCCCTTTAATAAATAGGTAAATAAATAAAATGGTGTGTTTGTATGGCTTATCACATTTTTTCAAATCTTTTTCGTTTTGTTTTTTTCCACTCTAAAGAAAATCTTTGTAGTTCCTTCAACCCCAGACCAAAAAAGGATCCCATTTGCCCGAGTGAATCACAACAAATACATGGTGACCGACAGAGTGGCTTACATAGGTAAGAGGAACCCAGGCTAGGTGTAATGGCTGGCAAAGAATCGTGGGAGGTGTAGAGCATCTGGGGAGCTAAATGTTTGGTTTCCTGTATTCTGCAGAATCTCGCTTCCACAAAGATACACCCAGTCATTTAAAATTAACTACAATGTGTTTTTAATCTGCAGAGTTTCCTCTAAGCTTCTCCTAAATTTAGTCAACTACTAAATTAAAAGGGGCGAGGGTGACAATGAAAACCAAAAAGTTATAAATGTTTTACTAAATATATTAAAGGGACACTATAGTCACCAGAATAACTACAGCTTATTGGATTTGTTCTGGTGAGTAGAATCAGTCCCTTCAGACTTTTTGCAGTAAACACGGTTTGTTTCAGAGAAAATGCAGTGTTTACATTACAGCTTAGGGATACCTCCACTGGCCACTTCTCAGATGGCTGCTAGAGGTGCTTCCTGGGGCAGTGCTGCAGTGTGACTGCCATTCAGTGTCTCTACCCTCTGCATGCAGATACTGAACTGTCCTCATAGAGATTCATTGATTCAATGTATCTCCACGAGGAGATGCTGATTGGCCAGGGCTGTGTTTGGCTTGTGCTGGCTCTGCCTCTGATCTGCCCCCTTGACAGTCTCAGCCAATCCTACAGGAAAGCATTGTGATTGGCTCAGACCACCACTTCTGATGTCAGCAGGCAGATCAGGGACAGAGCCAGCAGCTGCAGACTTGAATACAAGTACGATTTTACTATATTTAAGTAATAAATGTTTGTGTTCCTGACCCTATAGTGTTCCTTTAATATTTTTAATGTCAAAAACTACTCCTGACATATTGAACTATTTAGTAATACAAGTTTTGTCTTTCCTTGTCCTTGAAATCTTTCCCTTTTTTGTGTGCTGGTACTATTTAGTTTTTTATTTAATGTTAAATCTTTGAGGACACACATTTTGGCATTGGTGAATGTTTATATATGTTAATTTACCGGTTTGGTCCCATTCTCTGATGTCTTTTGTACACATTGTCTCCTCCCATATGCTCCTCATAAAGAATTATTTCCCTTACTTATTGACAGGAGGCTCTCTATCAAGCTGAATGTTTTAATGGTTATTGAGTTCTGACATTTCTGAGCCACTTGAATAACAAATTGAGCCCAGAGTGCTGGCTTCTTGGCACCTGGAACAGACTGTTAACCCACGTTGCCTGTTTAAACCTCAGCCACTGGTTCTAGAACCAACATCTCTCCAAAGTGTGACATTGTGCAGCAAGAGCCCTAATCAGTCTGCTCTCTCATGTTGGTGTATCTTGTGTTGTAGGTACGTCAAACTGGTCTGGGGACTACTTCCTGCGCACAGCTGGGACTGCGCTAGTCGTGAACCAGACAAGTTCTGTCAATGCCACCAACACCGTCCAAGAAAGACTTCATGCTGTGTTTGAGAGAGATTGGAATTCTAATTACAGTCACGTGCTCCATGGCCTGGGTTCATCGTGGAGTGAAAAGTGCATCTTTTAAGAAACATACTGGCCATCACTAGTGAGCACTCAGGGGGAGCACCAAGATGTCTTCTTACAGATTGGTGATTTAGTTTTTGTGAGTGCAGGGACTGAACCTCAAGCACAGAAAGGCTAATATAGAATGAAGAACTCAAGGTCTGTTATGGATATAGAGTCAGGAAAGGGTGTTTATATTGAAGAGTGAGTCAGTTCCTTTTTAAGGCAGATGTCCCCAAACTGCACCATATCTCTGTGGATAATGTGAGCCCCGGGGGCCGCTATCCCTGCTCTTCCTCAGTCTTTATAGCATTCATCTCTACGTTTAATGTTTCTGGGTATACAAGGTACAGGACACTTTATACTTTCCCACAGTATTTACAGGATCTAAGGTTTTATCTATAAAACTAAATTGCTTTAGGGTTTTTTATACTTTAAGCAATAATACTCCTGCACAAGTAGGTTCATGACCACCTTGGCTCCTCTGTCCTACACAGAATGTTCTCTATGGTTCTTTACCCTAAGTGTTTTCTTTTGACCACTGAACTGTGGGGGAAGTAAAGGAATATTTCTCTGTCAGAGAATTTTTCCATTTTTGCTGTTTTGACGTAGTTTGCAGTTGGCTTGTCAGTTTCGCAGTATTAACCGTTCTTGAACAAACCCAATGTGACATTATCTGGCCGCTAGGAATGCTGGATATTAATGGGGTTTAATAAAGAGATCAGACGTGGAATAACACTGTTATAATTTCACGTACTGTAACAGGACGTTTTCCAAGTGGATTTCTGAAATATTTGACTCTTCCTTGTTGACAGTCTCTACCCTGGAAATTCCCGCGTTCAGTTCCTTTATCAATGGCTTGTTATCTGTATTGAGATTATGACTAAAACCATTTGCTTGTCATTTTATATAAAACCATTCTCTTTAATGGCCTGTTGTCACAACAAGCAGTTTATTTGCTAAACCAGTTACTTCTGATAAACTTTCAAACACGGCTGTGACTGGCACAATACTGCGCAGAGCGAATAAACTGCTTGTCTGGTAAAGATAAAAAAAAAAATCTATTTTTTATTTTTTTGTATGTGGTGTATTAGTGAACAGTTTTGTCAGGAATTTTCCAAGTATTTAGGGCTGTTCCTCCACGTGTTTTATTTTCCCGTTATTGTTACAGGATGTTGTCGTGTGTTTTGTGGTCTGTGTTTGGATGCAGGATTGCACATTTTCCTGCTCAATGGTTTGGTGCTGGATTTACAAAAATACTTGATTTCTATAAAGCAGGTACAAATATCAATAAAACTGAACTTTGTTTTCACATCCTGTTTGTATGAATTTGGGAACATGTGATGTGGGGGGGGGACCCAGGGAAACAAAAGCAATGACAGCCAATCACTTCTCAAATGCATACCCTGCAACATTTCAAATGAACAGAGGGTGTACGGGAGCTCCTTGTACTCCGACTGAGTACCCTCCATTGACGGATGCTCCTAGCGCTTCCTGAGGACTGTAAGCACTGCAGCAGACACCACAAACACCGCAGACTCCACAACCACCGTATCTTGACTGGAGTCTCGCCGTCTTCCTTCCACCCTGGATCAGCTTCTGTCCTCCAGGACTGTGTGGAAAAGAACTCTTCCTTCCACCCTGTACAAACCTGGACTGTGTGGTGTGTGGTGAAGACCCCTCCTCCAAGGAGAGCGTGTCAGGAACAAGCTCTTAAAAGAGCTAAGTGACTCAAGCTCGGGGGAGCATACAGAGCATAACAATCCCCAGTGTGATTATAACAGCTCCCTCCAATAATGAGACAAGGCTACATTTAGAGGGATCAAGAAGAACTGTCAAAACCTTTATTTCCCTTGGGACCAGCGAATAGGGTCACCACAATAACATTGTTGTGAAACCTCAATAAAATCAAACAGTCAAACCATATCAAGCAACACACAGTGACTTATCACAACACAATGGCACATGTTTAAAGGGGTGGGGGGAGACAATATTTAACAGTAAATATCTCACCTGCCTGCAGAATTAGCAATATGCAAATCTACCCGAATATGCAAATGAACCAGTCTTGCAATTCAGGTAGTGCATATTGCTGTTGCTACCAACAGAGGGCACTAGACAAGCTCCATAGCCAAACCCACCTAGTTGGTAGCAAACCTCAGCAATACAAGAGAGCAGGCAATACATTACACAGTACATACACACACACTATAAACAATTACATTACACACACCCTGCACCTATAATGGGTACAGGGTGACTAAAACATAAGATAAATAAAGCAGCCTACATAAATAGTCTGTCTGAAGGTAGACTATGGGCTTTAAAGCCAGATACATGAAAGAGTCATAGTCACAGGGGAGGAGGCTGGCAAGTAGGCCTCTCCAGGACCAAGTGGCGAAGGGCACTTCATCACAGAGGGACACTTTGATTTTAGGGGTGTGAGTGGGGTGTAGCCAGGGGTGGGGCTGTTCTGAGATATTTTAGGCTACTGACTAATATATACAAACCGTCCATTCTTACTGAGAGCATGCACTAGAGGGGAGTATTATTGCCGTGGAGCTCTGTTATACATTCAGGCACATTACTGGGAGTATTATTGCTGTGGAGCTCTGTTATACATTCAGGCACATTACTGGGAGTATTATTGCTGTGGAGCTCTGTTATACACTCAGACACATTACTGGGAGTATTATTGCTGTGGAGCTCTGTTATACACTCACATAATATGGAGCTCCAAGAAAAGAGACATTAGGAGAGAAAATAGGCACAGAGGGATTTGGGCCCTAAATAGGGACACTTGGGAGGTTTGCAAATAACAAGGATTTTAAGAATTTGACACACATACAATATACAGATACAGTTACAGATACAGCGCACACATACAATATACAGATACAGTTACAGCGCACACATACAATATACAGTTACAGCGCACACATACAATATACAGTTACAGCTTACACATACAATATACAGATACAGTTACAGCTCACACATACAATATACAGATACAGTTACAGCGCACAGATACAGTTACAGCGCACACATACAATATACAGTTACAGCGCACACATACAATATACAGATACAGTTACAGCGCACACATACAATATACAGTTACAGCGCACAGATACAGTTACAGCGCACATACAATATACAGATACAGTTACAGCTTACACATACAATATACATATACAGTTACAGCGCACAGATACAGTTACAGCGCACACATACAATATACAGATACAGTTACAGCGCACAGATACAGTTACAGCGCACACATACAATATACAGTTACAGCGCACACATACAATATACAGATACAGTTACAGCGCACACATACAATATACAGTTACAGCGCACAGATACAGTTACAGCGCACATACAATATACAGATACAGTTACAGCTTACACATACAATATACATATACAGTTACAGCGCACAGATACAGTTACAGCGCACACATACAATATACAGATACAGTTACAGCGCACAGATACAGTTACAGCGCACACATACAATATACAGTTACAGCGCACAGATAGTTACAGCGCACACATACAATATACAGTTACAGCGCACACATACAGTTACAGCGCACACATACAATATACAGCGCACAGTTACAGCGCACACATACAATATGCAGTTACAGCGCACAGATACAGTTACAGCGCACATACAATATACAGATACAGTTACAGCGCACACATACAATTAGTTTTACATTTTAGAAGTATTCCTTAAATCTTAGCAAACAAATATGGGGATTCAGTACCAGCATGTAGCCATATTGTATTCAGCCCACCACTACTAAGTCACTGTACCCCAATATTGGGGGTTTTACACTAATTCCAACATGAGAGCAAATTAAATAGTGGTAACAAACTAAAGTGTATTTCACTAATCTGTTGTAAGAGCATTGTGATGATCATGAAAAATTTGCGTGATAAAATGTGAAACTGTATTCTTACCAGCCCAATAAAGTCCACAAATAGAGAGGATAATAATTCTGCAGGGCAGTCCAGAGTAAAAACTTCAGTAAATGGAAGCACCAATACAGACTGTGTGGGTTTAGAAAAATACCCCTCTCTATCTCAGAGATTGCTTTACCTGAAGCTGAACAGTCAGTGTAGGACCCACCTAAGAGGTTTGCCTTGACGTGGCCATTGGAGTTACTAAATGACCTCCATTTATTTCAATAGGCACAGGGATTTGGGAGGGAGCGCAGATAACTTTTTCTCTGGTTAATACAGACACTGGAAAGGGTGGCAGTCAGACCCGGAAACTAACACACAATAGAATAATCCATGTAGACAATGGGCAGACAAAGCTGTTTTCCTGGCACTATAGGGTTAATAGTCCCCGGGCCTGGACTGTCCCTTTAAGGAGAGTTTGGGGTAAGCATTAATATGACTGAGCATTAGGACGATTTACAGTAAAGTTATTGTCACAAGTTGGCTTTTTTTGCCTTGAGTTTTGCCATTAGCATTTAATTTGGGAAAATTTGGAGTTTGGTGAATAACACTGTTAGAGTTTTAGTTGCATTTCCACCCGGTTTGTATCTGGCAAACTGGAAAACCAAATGAAAGCCATTTGGTTGCAGTTTGTCCGTTTGTGAATAGCTGAATGCTTTGTTGAAACTGCAGAACTGACAAATGAAGAACATTTAACTGTTTGGCATGGAGTGAACAGACTCTGCAGGATTAACCCCTTCAGGACCGGCCTGTTTTAGCCATGTTGTACGTTAAGGACCAGGGCTGTATAAACACTTTTGTGGTGTTTATGTTTAGCTGTAATTTCCCTCTCTCTCATTTACTGTTCCCATACAAATTATATATTGTTTTTTTTCAGGACAAATAGGGTTTTCTTTACATACCATTATTTGTATCATGTCATATAATTCACTTTAAAAAAATAAAACATGTTTTTTTTTACTTTTGCTTGAAAAATCTTTTACTTACCTTTAAAAGTTAATTGAAAAAAAACTGCTAAATAGATTTAAAATTGTATCCTGAGTTTAAAAACACTCAGTGTTTACGTGCTTTTTTTGCTATATATTTTTAAAATGTATCAATAGTGATGTAACGGACCGTTTTGCACGAAAGGGGTAACAAACGTTTAGGCGATCGGCCCCCTTTCCAGAGATGCAGGCACAGCTACTGCAGAACACCAAACACATGAACCGCCAGTAAGTGAATGCTCCAAACTCCCGAACGGCATCCAATGTAGCACTCCAAATACATGAACAAGAACCATACGAATTGCTGCTAGCAGACGAATAGGAAAAGCATCCAAGCGCCTTACACTCCTAGCAATCAGTCTCTATCATCATTCAGTAAATTCCCCCCCCCCCAAAGACGAGACAAGGCTCCGTGTTGAGGGTCAAGCAGTGGTCTGTTTAATGAGGGCTACCTGCCCAGTATTTATGCAGGTCTCCCACCTGGTGGACACTCCCCTAGGGGACCAAATGGGAGACAGTGACAATGGGCAGACAAATAAGACACACAGTCACAATATATTCCCACAATGCATCCTGGCTTCCTTCCCTCTGCCCTGGGAGATAATTGAGAAGTAATTCAATTATCTCCCAAGACAAAGGCAAATCGCCATTATGCACGTGGGGATACTAAAACAAGCATTACTGTTAAAATACAACATGTAAGACACATTACATTAAAACTATACATTTAACATATCCCCAGATAGCTCAGGTCTGAGCACACATTATTAAGCGAATGGCGCTCAGACCACAGGAATACAGTTTAATCGCCATGGAGCCAAAGTCTTTAGAGTCAGTTTCATGCGAATGGGCTCCATGGCATTGCTATCTGGGGTATAACATAGACAAGTAAAACTACCGAACACCGGCCGTTCGTGTACTTCCACCGAACAAGAAGGGAGGTCGGCGGCTTCAGCGGTGTTCGCGCAAAACTGTGTCCGATTTTAGTTCCATGAATTAAGCGTCGAACACCGCTGTGCATTCGTATGTTTAAAGTGGCCGCGACATCGTGTTCGGGATACGAATGGCGGCCACCCAGCATTCGTCAATTAAGCTGCGATTAACCGCAGCTTCAGGGAGGTTAATTGCCGGCACACTCCAGCTCCCAGGTGGTCTATTCATTCGTGCGGTTGTTCGGTAGATTGAATCTACCGAACAACCGGCAGAAAAGCACGAATACAGCTTTTCTGCAGGCGAAACAAAGTCTTTTAACATGGGGCCATAGTCCAGAGGCAGCAGGCGAGCAACCAGGCTTCTCCAATGCAATGTGGCGAGATTGGTCTCGTCACAAGTGATATCTGTCATAAATCTCTGAATCACACCCCACGTGCACCTTTTTTTTTTTTTTTTAAAGGACCACTATAGTGCCCTGAGGGTGCTCCCACCCTCAGAGTCCAACTCCTGTGGCTCTGAAGGGGGAGAAAGGGGTTAAATTCTAACCTTTTTTCCAGCGCGGGCTCCCTCGGCGCTGGGGACTCTCCTCCCTCTTCTGATGTCATCGGCTGCATGCGCAGCAAGAGCAGCACGTGCTTTCAGCCAGTCCATAGGAAAGCATTCTCTTTTTTTTTTTTTTTTTTGTTTATAATCTTTATTTTAAGGGTTTCCCCCCCTTTTTTTTTCACAATACAATACATTACAACAATTACAAACAAATGATAGAGAAACAATTCCTATATAAGATGTTCATCCATGAGATGTTTCTTTATACATTTCAATTAACTAAAAACAAACAATACTTTAGACTTACACATCTACATAAACAGGACAAGACAATGCAGCAAGAGAGAAGGGAAGAAACTCATCGAGAAAGTATATATATTTATCTCATAATATATATTGTATTATATTGTCCAAAGCATTAACAGTCAACCTAATTATTCACCTTGAATTTATATATATAAATAAAGGCCCCTCTATTTATCAATCTTCTCCCAACATTTCAACCACATTGTTGTTTTCCTACTTAATTTTTGTTTGCTCGATAACACTTCCATTTTTACTTGAAACTTAAGCTGGGCTTTGACTTGATCCCAAGGAACTTCACTATCGTCTTTCCATCTTCTTGCAATCACAATTTTTGTTGCTAAGAAAAGATGGATAAGAATAATTTTCAAATCTTTTGTCATTACCGGCCAGTTTAGATGAAGCAAAACAGTCTCCGGAGAGAGCCTCAGCTCAAGGTTCAAGTCTATGGATACAAACTTTTGTATGTTAAACCACAAATTGTTCAGTTTACTACACTCCCACCAAATATGCTTAAAAGTACCTGTATTTGTACCACATCTCCAACATAGATGGTTTGCTGAAGAATACATTTTGTTCAATTTGTCTGGTACTAGGTACCATCTATTTAGAACTTTAAAATGAGTTTCTAATAGATTTAACGAGTGTGTATACTTCGAAGCTTCTGTCAATTCCTGTGGCTCTCAAGGGGGAGAAAGGGGTTAAATTCTAACCTTTTTTCCAGCGCGGGCTCCCTCGGCGCTGGGGACTCTCCTCCCTCTTCTGATGTCATCGGCTGCATGCGCAGCAAGAGCAGCACGTGCGTTCAGCCAGTCCATAGGAAAGCATTCTCAATGCTTTCCTATGGATGCTGGCGTCTTCTGAGTGCCTATAGTGGTCCTTTAAAGTAGACAACCCAGAGTATTCAATATGGGGTATGTCCAGTCTTTTTTAGTAGCCACTTAGTCACAAACACTGGCCAAAGTTAGCGTTCATATTTGTTTGTTTGTGAAAAAAGTAAACGAAATTGAACGCTAATTTTGGCCAGTGTTTGTAACGAAGTGGCTACTAAAAATGACTGAACATACCCCATTTGCAATACCTTGGGTTGTCTACTTTTGCAAATGGTATGCCATCATGGGGGTAATTCTCATTCCTGGGCTACCATACGCTCTCAAAGGCAACATAACCAACATGGCAAATTTCAATGTAAAAATATTTGACCCTTGTATAAAACTCTATAAAACCTGTACATAGGGGGTACTGTTATACTCGGGAGACTTTGCTGAAAACAAATATTAGTGTTTCAAAACAGTAAAACGTATGACAACAATGATATCATCAGTAAAAATGCCGTTTGTATGTGAAAAATGCAAAAGTCACTTTCACGGACAATATCATCGCTGTTATGTTTTTTTTTTACTGTTTTGAAACACTAATATTTGTGTTCAGCAAAGTCTCCTGAGTAAAACAGTACCCCCCATGTACAGGTTTTAGGGTATCATAGAAAGTTACAGGGTTAATTACAGTGCTAGCAAATTAAATTCTCTGGATTTTTGGCCTGGGTTGTCAGGCAGTTCCCTCAAATTGCAATCAATAAAATTACTTAGTTATGTAACAATATATAATATAAATATGCAGGTAGAATTTAAATATATATGCATATTTATATATTTGAAGTATACATGTATATTTATGAAATTTGTCATTTTGTATATGATATATAGATATTTTCAGATTATTTTTATTTAAATATATGTAGATGTACAAATAATTCTAAGTGTATTTTGATATAAATATATAGTAATATCAAAATACAGTTAGAATAAAATTTCATATTTTAAAATTATTTTTACATTTTTTAATTTATTTTAATTTACTTATTATTTGTATTTTATAATACAATATATAGTTATTATATAATATATACGTGTGTAATTTAACTGTGTATTGTTATATTAATATATGCATCTGTTAATATAAAAATACACTTGGTATGAATATATATATATTTAGATTAACAATTTTTTTTATTTTACACATGCAGGGAGACTGCCTGTCAGCACAGGCAGTCCCCCTGCAGACAGACACTTGGTCACCTATTGTGAACATGTGATCGCTCTGTTCGATCACTTGGCCGCGGGGTCCTAATTTGCCGCGGGGAGACTGCCTGGGCTGTCAGGCAGTCTCCCCACACCGGGAGCAACACCGATCGCCGCCAGGGGAACGACGGCGATCAAGTAAGTACCCTAATATCGTTATGAGGGTTCAGGACCGTTACCAGTCCTCAAGGGGATTTTTCCGATGATGGTCCTGAATGGGTTAATAGGGATTTGGGGTTCTGTTAGGGTGATTAGGGGAGACTAGATGTTTAGGTAAAATTCCCTGGTCTTTAATTGGGGAACTGGAACGAGTAAATTAAGGCAATTTGGTTGCATTTCAGCTGTTTTGTGAACATCTAAATCATCATCATACAGAGATTTGGGAGTCTGTTCAATAAACGGCAAACAGATACCAAGTAGCCGCTAAATGGAAGGGCAGTTTAAGTTTCAATAACCAAATTTGCCTTTTTGTGAATATCTGAATGGGTTAAAACAGCTTGATTGTAACAACCGAATGGTGTTAGTGAACAGACCCCACCTGTCTTCTCCTGCATAGAACCATCTCGCCCAATGTGAACCCATTGTATTTCTTTAAATTTTATTTTAATTCTGTATTCGTTTCTTTGTCAAAGTGATTGTAATAAATAGAGCCATTTTTTCCGTGGCTTTTATGGCGGAAATGAGAAAGCAAACATGTATCTGTAAAAGTGTTTTTTAATGTGTCAGTGGAGTGTGCAAATAATGTCTGCGTTGTGTAAACATTACGCACTTTGTGGATTTTCCCTGTGCCTAGTAAGTGATTAAAGTATTTATTTAAAGGAAATAGAAGTGAATGTACTGCATGTTGCACAGTTTCTTGATTAAGCGTTGTGTTGTCTAGCTGCTCCTCCGCAGGGGTTTAATGTGTTTTATAAACGTAAAGGAAATGTAGATAGTGCGTAATGTAGTTATGGTATGGGAATAGTAATTTTAAGCATGTCATTTACATTATCACCACTAGATGGCGACATTTGATAATTTTTGAACAAGGCACATTTCACTCTTAATTCCTTCAAAGACTATTAAAGGTATAGGGGACGAACCACGTAATCGC